CCCCGGCAGATCGTCAGCGTTTTGCCTTTACATTGCCTGTTCTCAACAATGCTCAGCCAACTGAACGCTACCAATGGGTTGTTCTGCCACAAGGTATGAGAAATTCTCCAACTTTATGCCAGCACTTTGTCAATTTAGCCCTAAAACCTTTCCGCCAGCGCCACCTAGAGGTTATTTGTTTTCATTACATGGATGATATCCTTGTGGCTGCGAAGCACATATCAGTGGAATTATTAAGAGACCTTACATTTGCCCTGACAGATTTTGGACTGTGTATTGCCCCAGATAAGGTTCAGCAAACTTTGCCTATGTTATATCTTGGACATAAATTGACACAACAAGCTGCTATTCCGGTTGTTCCCCAATTGTCTTTTCCTGCCCGCCTACGGCTGGTTGACCTTCAACAACTTTTGGGACACCTGAATTGGATTAAGAATTACCTTAATCTGCCTACTAGCACCTTGTCACCATTGTTTTCTGCCTTACAAGGACACAAACTACCCGGAGAAGTCATCCCAGTTACAGAAGAAATGCTACAAGCCTTACAACAGGTTAATGCTTTATTAAGAGACCGAATGGTGGATCGCATAGACACTCTGCACAATGTGCAGTTATCCTTGGCAATTTTTTCCACGTCTTTGCTGCCTACAGCCATTCTCTACTCACAGAAATCGGCTACCCCCTCGGGTGTCAACATTGTGGAATGGATCCACCTTCCGCATACTCCACCGCGTAACATTTACTCCTCTCCAGCGGCTGTAATGGATTTGGTAATTAAAGGGCGCGCTCGAGCAAAAGCCCTCTCTGGACTGGACGTTGAAAAATTTACTTGCCTTTTCACTCACAGAAACACAACACCTGATTTCCACCTCCGTGGCTACTCAAGTAGCACTTGTGGATTTTTTGGGAACCATCACGCATAATCCCCCCTCTGATCCACGCTTGGCTTTTCTTTCTCAAACTGTCTATACTTTAAAAACTGCTCTCTCTCCGACCCCCATCCCCTCTGCCCTTACCCTTTTCACTGATGGGTCAAAAACGCGGGGGTGGTGGCATGGGAGGAGGGTGGAAAATGGAAAACTGAATTTACTGAGCAACAGAGGTCCGCCCAGCGGGCTGAACTTGCTGCTGTAATCCTTGCCTTTCAACTCTTTCCTGACAAACCTTTTAATTTGCTTGTTGATACACAATATGTGTATCGCCTTCTGTCTTCCCTGCCTGTTTCTTATATCACGCCTGCGTTAGATGCTGATTTGTTTGTTCTTTTGTCTACCTTGCAGTATATTATTCAAGAACGCCGTCATCCTTTTTATGTTGCACACCTTCGTTCCCACACCAATCACCCAGGGTTTTTGGCTCAGGGAAATGCCGTGGCAGACGCTGCACTGCGATCTGAAGTGTTTTCCTTGTTTTCTGACCCTATTCTCTCTCATTCTACCTTTCACCAGCCTGCTAAAGTTTTGGCAAAAATGTTTAAAATCCCTATTGCACAGGCACGAGACATTGTCTCTCAATGTCCTACCTGTTCTAAGGCTCCAACCATGATTCCCTTTGATGCGGTGAACCCTAGGGGTACGTCCCCTCTTGCGGTTTGGCAGATGGATGTCACTCACACCCCTCTGCTCGCCCCATTCTCAAAAGTTCACTTGACAGTGGACACCTCATCTGGATTTATCTGGGCCACCCCATTGAAGGGTGAGACCGCTCGTCACGTCATTCAGCACACCCTGCGCTGTTTTGCTGTGATGGGTAAGCCACAAAGCATTAAAACGGATAATGGCCCAGCCTATATTTCCTCTCAGTTCTCATCCTTTTGTGATTTATGGAATGTGAAATTAATCCATGGTTTGCCTTTTAATTCAACAGGACAGGCGATTGTGGAGAGGGCGCACTTGACCTTCAAGACACTGCTGTCCAAACAACTTGGAGGTCGAAATGCCCCCTCCGCCGAGATTCCTTCAATTGTGCATACTGTTTTATTCACTCTTAACCATCTTTTGTATCCCCATAATAGGGAATATACACCGGCTGAGATTCATTTTCGAAAAGCAGAGCCTTTGGCTCGGCCTCTTGTGTCTTACAGACAGCTACCTGATCCAACATGGCATGGTCCTGTGCCACTCATCTCCTGGGGACGCGGCTACGCGGCAGTGGACCTGGATGGACGGCCTACCTGGTTACCAGCGCGCTGTGTGCGACCCTGGCGAGCTTCTGCCTCGGAAGTGAAAGCAGCAACGAGCCATACTTCACCCTCTCTGGCGGACGTCGCCTTCCTGCAGCCCTGAGTCCCTACTGCACTTGGAGACATCGCCATCTGACCCTGAACGTGCCGTGGTTGGAATCACCTGTAACAGCGATACCAGTCTTTCCTGCAAAACTACCAAACCATCTTGTACCTTACTCTTTGCAAGCTCCACGACGCTCCTGGAACCACACAAAAAGGTTTCATTATGGTTTTGCCGCTGCCTGCTTAGGAAACTCTCCTGGCTATGAAGGATGCCCGCGATATACAGGTTTGGCATGGGTTTTGCCGCCCCGTGATAGTACCCCTATTTGTGTTCCCACCACAAATTGGGAATGGTCTTTCAAACATTCCCTGTCACCAATTAACAAAGCCTACATTGGTCAATTGGGATCATGTGTCTGTCGCACTGGTTGTTGGACTAAACCAGGTTTTTGGTTTCTGAAAAAAGGAAATGTTGCCACCCTCTTTCACAGAGGCTGTGAAGAGGTGGCAGTTGCTGTCCTTTTCCCTTATAACCCATATTGCCCACCTGCACAGCTCATTTGGTTCCTGCAACATTGGCCAAAACAAAAAATTCTACCGGCTGGCTGCATCCACAGCACTTTCGAAGACATCGACGCTCAGCTAGCCATGATCCCAGCATTTTGTCTAAAATTAATCGTTCAGAGGACTATCATGCTCTCTGGACTGATAATACCTTTGTAAAAGACATGGCTCAATTGTCAAAGATTTTGAATTATACTAATTGTTGGATTTGTATGCACATTCCTCCACAGGTTCGACGCTCTGGCATATTGTTGCATGGCATCCCCATTAATGATTCTTTTAAGATAAGTAATAATCTCAAGATTAACCGCACACGTTTTCCACCAGTGGTATTGACCTTGTTAGAACCAGCAGATAGGTGTTTTAAGTTTAAACATAACACATCTGTATTTCTAGGGAACTACCCTAATTGTGCTTGGACTTATGAATATGTCAATACCTCCTCTTGTTTCTTGAACACAACCACACGCAGTGGAAGGCCACCAGTAGTTATAGGGAATGTTACCCACCGTATGACATGGGGCCAGCATGCAATGTGCAATGATTTTGATGGATGGATATGGTGGATGAAAAGAGTAGTAAGCCATCCATGGTTTTACAGAATGATCTTTGGCTTTTCTGCGGACGTAAAGCCTATAAGGAAATTCCTAAAAGCTTTTCAGGGATTTGCACCCTTGGTATTGTAGTTCCATTGATTTATAAGTTAGACAATATTTCTTCGCTCGGCTTCGCAATAAGAGAGATGCTAACGCTCCTATAGTTCATTATGCTGAAACTGCAATTGCTAGGGCTGCCCTGCCCCCTCTTGGTGTTGCCATGAATTACAGGGACCTCCACAGACTCTCCAACTGGACAGAAGGGCTATTCAATGCAACTATAAAAGCCTTGAAAGTCATTAACCAAGAAATGTCCCATATTCGTGAGGTTACCCTGCAGAATCGCTATGCTTTGGACACCATTTTGGCCTCCAAGGGAGGGGTGTGGGTTAGTGTTATCACACTGCTGTATGTATATAAAAGATTATAATCTTAGTATTTCCACAACTATTAATGAAATGGAAGCCATGGTTAAACAAAATCCGATCTCACATCCTCCCATTCCTGATTCTTGGGAATCGTTTTTTTCCTGGCTTCCTGACGGATTTTGGTTTCGTCATTTATTGCTAATAGGCTTAGGCTTGGTTATAGGATTTGTGTGTATTTGTTGTTGCATACAATGTGTTCCCTCGCTGATCACCCAATGTATGGGGTGGTGGTCTTCACGACGCACTTCCTTAGGTGTCCCCCGCCGAGAATATGTTGCCCGATACACGCGCTTTCGCAATGAAATTTATGACTCTGATTAAATAATAAAAAAGGAGGGCATGTGGGGGTGCAATAGAAAAAATAAGCACCCTTGTGCAAGATTGTGCAAGAGGAAACATCTGTTGACTCTGTTGACTTGTTCCCCCCACACGCCTGGGTCACTGTCGCTGCCTAACCGCAAGGCTGTCATGCTGTCTGGAGTTATGTCCTGGTAGAGAATAGTTATTCTAAGAAATGCAAACCCTAGCTGTTTTCCACCCGAGTGCTACACGTGTATATGCAACATGATGTAATGTGCGCAAGGCTAATAAACATGCAAGGCTGCTGGGGGACAGAGCTCACTCCTTGCTTAAACCTTCACCCATGACTCTTCGTTATTTTCCTCCGCACCTGGTGGGCTGGTTCCCCGACAATAGCTCTGGTAAGGAGCACATCACAGTGATCGTTAGCACAGACGATAACATAGTCTAAGACAGGGGTCGGCAACCCGCGGCTCCGGAGCCGCATGTGGCTCTTTTACACCTTTGCCGTGGCTCCGGGGTGGATACTAGAGCTACCCATGTACCCCCAGCAGCCAAAACAAAATGCCACAAAATGAGTGAATGATTCCCCCCCAAAAAATTTACACAACAAACATAAAAAGAATAAATTGATCTTACATTACATATACATTACATTCTCGCTGCAAGAAGCCACATTACAGGGAACCAAGCAGGGGTAGAGGCGAGGGAGCGTCCCTCAATTTCCTACTGGCGTGAGAAGCGTAGAAAGTACCGGGTCATCCCGTGAAGTCTTTTGCGGCGGTTGCCAGAAAATGCCTGTGAAAACGCAGCCTGCCGGGACTCGGTCCCTGAGCGCCGTGTGGGCCAGACAGGACTTTTTGCGCCCGCTTACAAAGCTGCCACATGTCGGACGCTCCCTTGCCCGCTTTGTCAGGTGCCTTTGGCCAGCTCGAACCCGCCCCCCAGACCAGCCTCCTCCAATCGGCCCCTCCGGTGGCGGCTCGCACGCCGGGCGATTGGCCGAGCGAGAACCGGCAGTGGGCGGCTTGCTGCCCCACGGCAATTATTACTATTATTACTATTGCCACCATCATTAACAGCATCATTGTCATTTTTCTTAATTAAATATAATCTCAGGGGACCTCAGCCCTTGCCACTTAATGCTCGGTTTAACCTCCACTCGCTTCTTAGGTTAAAACCTTATTTTATTTTTTTAATGGTAGCACCTTATCCCTTTTGCTTTCTCCATTGCATTTCCTTCCCCTGACAGACAAAATCCTCTCCCTCAGAGGCATCCGTGTATCCCCCTCGCACCCCCACCCCCCAGCTCCATTACTATTACTACCTCTGTGAATTTCTTTAAGACCGTCCAACTTGTCGCCTGTGTGAGGGAGTTCCATGGTTCAATTGTGCGCTGGGTGAAAAAGTCCTCTCTTTCCTCTGCCCTGAATCTTTGAACATTTGGGATGTCCACAAGTTCTGGTGGTCCACAAGAGAGGGGGAAAAGCTTTTCTCTACCCTCTTTCTCCATTCCATGCATAATTTGCCAACTTCCTATCATGTCACCTCTTCTCTAAACTAAGATTACCAGTTTGTTTTTTCAATGAATCCGGGGACACTTTTCAACTTCCTATTAAATAGATTTTGCCAGGGGACTGATTTGTAAATCTGGGGACTGTCGCTGGGAAATGGGGACGTCTGGTAACCTTCCTCAAAACTAAAAAGTCCTAAATGCTGCAACCTTTCTTTGCAGGGGAGTCCCCGGGATTCCAGTGCTATTTTTCTAGAGAAAGCGGTGCCAAAATTCGCCCTGAATGCCTCCCTTGTTCTCTTAGACTGGCAATGGCACCCACCTGAGAGGGTGGGGAGGAAAACCCTGCCTGGATCATTTCAGTTGCTCTTTTCTGAAGTCCAGTTTGTTTTCTACTGTTTTATAAGTTTTGCGGCTCCCAGTTTTTTTTCTCTTCGGAGACGGGTCCAAGTGGCTCTTTTGGTCTTAAAGGTTGCAGACCCCTGGTCTAAGAGGTGCCAGTCGTTTGACCGAGGATGCCTCCATGAAGTTTTAAATTTATTTTTCTGTCGAAAGAGTGTGTTGGTAATAACAAGGTTGTGCACTGCACATATCGTTAAAAGTACAATTCTGTTCTGGTTGATGTTGCCAATTCCTTCTCTCCCAATAGTCCCAGGCCACAGATCGAAATCTTGCCCAACTCTTGCATTAAAATCACGTAGGAGGATAATTTTATCTTCCTTAAGCGTCTCTGATAGGACGGTAACCACTTGTGAGTACAAATTTTCTTTAAAGTCTTCATCGGCATACAGTGCTGGTGCCTAAGCACTTAAAATAGTAGCCTGTTGGTTTTTGATGAGTTTTATTCGAAGTTGAGAGTCGCTCATTAATGCTGGTAGGGACTTCACAAGATTGTTTTTGATTGCGAAGCTAACCCCGTGTATTTGACGTTCTTGTTCAGATACGTTTTGACGTTCTTGTTCAGACGTTCTTGCTCCAGAAGAATGTGTAGCCTCCTTTTTCTTCCTTCAGTTGTCCCTTGCCTGCTCTTAGAGTCTCTTGGAGTGCTGCAATATCAATGTTAAAATGTTGCAGCTCTCTTGCAATGATGGCAGTTCTGCATTCAGGATCCTCGTTATCTGTGTTATCTGACAAAGTCTGTACAGTATATTCCATGTTCCAAAGCTCAATTGTCTTTTACAGCTGCTGGGTGGTGACTCCACTGGGTGCAATAATCCAGTCAGGAAAACCTAACCCTAACCCAATCCTAGCCCTCCCCTCCCCTCCCTTAACTCTAACCCAAACCTAATCCTGATCCCAAATCCTACCCCCTAACCCTAGCTCCAGCCCTAGCCCTAAACCTAACATTAACCCTAACCCTACAATTAACACTAACCCCACAACCCTATCCCTATCCCTAACCCAACACTAACCCCAACCCTAAAAGTAACCCTAACCCAATCCTAACTCTAACTCTAATCCTAACTGTATCCCTAAACCTCCGCCTAACCCTAAGGGAACCACAATACTATCCCTTACTCTACACAAACCCTTAACCCTAAAGCTAACCTAAACGCAAACCCAAACCCACCCCTAGCCCTAGCCCTAGCCCTAGCCCTAACCCCCTAACCAACCCCCTAACCCCCTAACCCTAATGGATATGAAATATATACAATGTGAGTTTCTTTTTGTGGGATGGTGATAGTCAGCCTTAATGATGCCCTGAGTCCCTCCAAATTCTTGGGATTCTGTTTCTATTGGGGTAGAATGCATAAGAGCAAGCTTGCCAAATCAGTTTCTTTGTCAAGGCAATGGCTTTGGGTGGCTAGGTAAGTACCACGGTGTCACATATCCAAGAAATTCCGCTGTGCCAAGGAGCATATGGGTGTGCCTTTCACTGCCCTAGCTGCTAGGGAGGAGAGCAATAGCCAGAGTAGTGTGCATGAACTGAACTGGAAGCAGACTGGAAACTGGAGGCACAGAAACATGCTTGCTCTGTGTTTGCGTTTCTCCTGGAAACCTAATCATGGTTAGATCACTTCCTGTTGAGATTTAGGCTGTCAGCACCTTTTCCCCTGTGCCAAGGTGGGGACCTAATAGGAAGGTCTGCCCTTGAAGGCTGATGGATCCAGTGGGACTCCAAATGGCTCTGGGATGTTTTCTAGCTGATATGACTGGTGCCTCTGTCGTAGCCCTGGCCGACCTCTGGAACACCTGAATGGCTTGGGCTATTGACATGATTGCCCCTAAGCGTTCTCTCCCACTTTGTGGAGCCCGTTTACCCCCCTGGTATACTCCAGAGCTTAGGGTGAGGAAACAAGCTGGGAGACTGCTTGAACACAAGTGGAGGAAAGATCCGAATGAGTGCAACCAAACACTGGTAAGGGCTCATTATCGAGCCTACTTAGTGGCAGTGAAGACAGCAAAGAAGACCTACTTTTGTGTTGGATGAGTTTCAGTTGGTAAGGCTCGAGGATGTGGACAAGGTGCTCAGATCAGTCAGGGCTACCACGTGCTCAAAACCCTTGTCCCTCAGTTATGAATTAACCTGGTCTCCCCAGTACTTCTGGTTGACATAGTGCCTCCTTATTGATGGATAACTTCAGATTTCAAATTATTTCTACTTAAAGACTTCTTTACTTCTCTATTTGCATAGCTGGGTTGATTAATTATTGCATGCCCATGTGCTAAAATATATTCTCCATTGGCATGCAAATTTTGAGACAGGGAAACAGGATCACACATGCAATTTCAATAGACATTTGAGTGGTTGATGATTCTGTTTTAGCAGTCTTTGCACAATTCACCATCCAGCATTAGCTCACAGGAAAGCTTCCTCTCAACACTCATGTGTAAATCATGAAGAAATCTGATGGTCCCAAGGCATCATGCAAGCTTCACTCGTGTCCTGTGACTGTTGAAGATGAATGGCAGAACAGCTCAGGAAAAAAGTAAATTAAGATAGACACCATCCCAGAACACTCTCAAGGATGTGGAAAGAAACATAAATTAGATTTTAGTCCCATATTGGCTTTGATGGGACTGAGTTACTAAAGGTTTGAAAACTATGTGCCTGGGGCCACCATGCCTGGAATCAGACTTGGTGACCTTAGCAGCTTCGACATTTGTGACATGAAGTATATATATTTAATGGCTTTAATGGCTTCAAGAATGTAACAGATTCTCTTAAATTCAGTGCACTTTCACAAGTACTGCAGCTTTTGGTCAATTCATCAATTAGAATAATGGGTTAAAAATGTGTTGGTCAACTAGCATCCTGCTTCAAAATGGTGCCTGCCACTTGAACATAGACACATTCTGCCACTCCCAAATTGTGCCAAATTTGGCAATGTTACCTCAAGACGCAGCTAAACCTTTGCCAAAAATGGGCAAATTTAATCCAAAATCGTATTTTGGTCTGCCATCGCCATTCAAAATGGCGGCCGGCATCCAAAAGTTGACAAAGACTGGTGCCCCACCTTGGGAATGCTAGTGCAAAGTGTGCTGCCAATTTCTCAAGTAGAAGCCAAATGGACAAAGCATTTGTCCAGAATACATTGCTACAGAGCTGGGATAACAGAGTTTGGGGTTGCAAGGGCATCCATAATTGGTGAATGTTATAAATTAAATTAATTATCGTACTTTTCTGTGTATAAGACTAGGTTTTTTAAACTTAAAAATAATGTGGAAAAGTGGGGTAGTCTTATACATGGGGGGCAATCTCCCCCCATTTTCTTAATTTTGAGTCCCCCAAAATAGGGGGCGTCTTAATACACGGGGGCATGTTATACATGGAAAAATATGGTAGTTAGTGAATGTTATAAATTAATAAAAGGGTGGAATTTAGTTGACATTTGGAATATTGAAGAGAAGATGCCAAGCCAGTGGAAAAATATAGGCTAAACTTCCTTTCCAGGCCAGAATAGTGGGATAGAACCCACTAAGCCTGGCAAAAGGTGTTGATGGGTTTGTGCAAACAGAGGTTGCCAAGGTAACGCTCAGCGATGACAGTAGGTTACAGGAAAATTGTCACCTTTTAAAACTAGCCTTGGAATAGCAGACAAAAGTGAAGGAGTTGCTTGGCAAGGGTTTCTGGGAAGGAGAAGCAAGAAGTGGGGAGAACTCCATGTGGGGGACTGATGCCATGTGGGCTGGCTAGAGACAAGCTTGGGCAGAGGCACAGAGATGGCACTAGGAAAGCCTGTGAATGCAATGTTGAGCTGCTTTTGAGAACAAGCCCCTCTTGAGATGTGAATGCTGTAAACTCTGCACTCCCTCCATCTGCACCCAGGTTGTAAATATGTGTAAAATAAACTATATTCTTGAAGTCACAACAGTCTCCTCTGTGCCTTAATTTCCCAGTGGAAATACAACCTTGAGTAAGTGTCTGGAACCCCCTCAAATTTTGCTATAACTTGGCACAGTTTGGAGGTGGCACACAACTTTTGTAACAATGTAGTTTACTACACACACACACACACACACACACACACACATTCCACCTTTATTCTCAAGAAGAAATACCAAGGCAGCTCAGAAACAAGTAAAAGCCAGCTGCAAACTAACAAGTATACAACCAATTGTAAAAAAAAATAAATTACCCCAAATAAAAATG